AAGTTCGCCAACACGCATTGGGGCAGCGAGGTGGACAATTACTTGCCCTAAAACCCTCTCAGAAATGAGCGGAGGCCTGTGCCCAGCAGTGGGACGTGTATATAGGCTGTAACTTTACTTTACTTTTACATAAGAATCTAAGAAGGGCAGTCAATGATAAATAAAATTTGTTTTGTAAGTTGTTTTTTAAAAAAAAAAACACTTTAACACAACAAAAACATGAAACTGAGAAGAAGCACCCGATCTGCCGAAACAAACTCAGAGAGGTCAGTCCAGGTATTACATTGGTCTGTACTGTCGAAAAAACCTCAGGATCCGTACCCGAAGGGTAACAAAATGTTTTCACAGAACTATTTCTTGGCTATAACAGCAAATAGTCAAAATAAATTTGAAATTAAAGGGTTTCCTACTAGAAAAAGAAACGCGTATTTTTGGCTTTTTTGATCGATAGTAATATGTAGTATATTTAAATCTTGTAAGATGGTACGGAAGCTCGGAAGTGAGATTCGCACTTGGCAAATATTTGTTTATATTTAACCTTACTTTAGACATACCGTGAAACCTTACAACTTTGCCCTTGGGGGACATCTTTGCCCAAACACGAAAATTAACTAAAACTACCGATAGACATTTTATTTTAACAAATGTCAACTTTGTATGGTGTCTAGGGAAAACTGGAGTATCTGTTTGACAGCACTGACTACTACAATCGCCGCTAACTATATTCAGGCAGCCGTCAGCAACCGTCAAAGGGACAGTGTCGAAGGTGGTGCAAAAACATTGTTGCAGTTTTGCATCCCGCATTGACAAGAAAAGCTGCGCAGGTAAGATTCATTATTATTTACGTGTAGGGCATTAGTTTTTGCTGCTTTTAATCAAGGTCTCTTTCGTACACTTGTCTTAGCGAGAAAATTGTGAGGGTAATTTTGTAAGCAATTTTATAAACTGAGGTCAAAAACATTGCCCAGCTCAAAGATGTTATTAGGGTTGACACTATTGAAAACAAAACAAGGAAACATGTACCTAGGTATAATAAATAAAAATTATATATATGTAATAAAATGTAAATATGTAGGTATACTTAATAAAATAAATAAATGTATATAGATATATATAAAAAACTGTATAACAATAACTACTGTTAACTGCAAACTAAACTACTGTTGTGATAACTATATAGGTAACTAGATACTGTTTTATATAATATTTTAAATATTATAATAAATAGGTATATTTATATAATAAATAGGTATATTTGTGGGGAATTTTTGTCAGAAACCGCTAGTTTCCCAAAAGAGAGACCTTAAATGTTCTCAGTTTCAAGCTAAAGTTTTTAAATAAGATTTATGCGGCAATTAGTTTGCAAAAAAAAAATTAAGTCTAAAAGAGAATTGTCTCCTCAACGACAGACATTAACGATCGCAGACAAAAATGGCCGACAAAATGGATTGGTACGCACAGTATGTGAACCACGCATATCAGTGGTACCAAAATCAGTATAAGCTGGCCTCGTATTATATTAAATAAGTATCGCCGCTGTCTACTTTTCCTTATCTCAACTATCAGGGTTAATTTCTGAGACAATTTTCTAGAACTTTCCTTTTTCTTGATTTTTTTTTGTTGTTAAGTTAGTTTTTGTTTTTAATTTTTAAAATAAAATATACATTATTGTATTAAAATCAGTTTATTATTTTCCTTTCATCTGATGCACAGCCCTAGCGCCTCAAATCTCTTAGTATGAAAGTGTGACTAAATGTGGTGATAACATTGCCCACCGCCATTAAAACTTAAAATGGACTTCTATTTATTTGAAAATGTAAAGGGTATACCATTTTGCCGATTTGCTAACAAATCAAAGTTATAGTCAATCAACTTATAGTTGCTGAGAAATTTAGGTTGAGCAAAGATGTAAGAAAGTGGAGATAAATTTGCCCTCGTCTGTTTTTGTTTTTTTCTTAGCATCTGTTAGGAATTATGCCACCCGGTTTTGACAGTTTATTTGTTGCATAGAGTGTCGTTTAAAGCTTCAGCAAAACCATCAAAATAAAGTATTTTTGAAAAAAGTAATAAAAACCGAAATATGTGGGCAAAGATGTAAGGTTTCACCGTACTCATATTTTTATATATAATTTACTATACTACTATATAAGCTACTACTAAATAAAATAGTAGCTTTGCTATGGTATTATAGTATATATTTTGGTTTAGATTTAATTTACCTATTACAAAGTAATACGAACTATATAAAAATTAAGGAGCGCATCAACCTACCTCAGATATTGGGTTATGAATACAGATAAGTACGCATAGGATTTAGTTTCTAATTTGTACATATTTTATAGCCTTCGTTATCAATAGCATAAACAGGCCAAGCCCCCTAGCCTACAAACGTTTCGTAACGAATCTCTTTTTACAATCGCGCCTTTTATTTGTTTGGACTGACCACCTGACTAGTTCAGTGATGTTATTCCCATACAGTATTTAGTTTTCAACTAGCGTTATCTACTATCATAAAATAAATTAAAATTTTATTTATATTTCGCTAATTGTGTCTGTACTGTGAATTTGATTTACAATCGATCTCTAAATTGTAGTTTTCTTCTAATTACTTACCTTGTCTAGACGTGTTCTTTGGCCTTCTGTAAGCAAGTCTGTGCTGTTAGTCCTATTCCGTTTAGGTACGTTACTATTTTGATAGACGTTTGTGCTTGTCCCTGCAGTGACACAATTCCTATTGATGATAACTTTCTAAGTACTAAGAGAATATTGCAAACCGCTATTGAACACAAACAAGCAATAAACAATTTACAAACTAACATTTTTATTTATTTAATTAACCTACATAAAAGCCCCACTCACATCAGTCGCGCTGTCGAAAAAGCAGTTATCCTGACACTGGCTGGCATATACTTCGGGGAGTTGCCTGTGGGCTATTATAGCTAACTAGCTATGATAAGTAAATACCTATTTAAAATACATAGTACCTACAGTAATGTTTGCATAACCTACATTAAAATACAAAAACATAATTATTTTACACTTTTTTCTGTTTTAGAAGTCTGTTATATTTTTCAAATTTTTTTTAATGTTACTATTTTTAGTTGAGAGTTATGTCCCTTTAGTGGGTACAGGCGTGATATTATACTGTGTTAGGAGTGGTCGTTACGAAACGTAACTAGTTACTGAAACTATCTATTCACACAATAGCGGGTAGCGTGTTATTGCAGTGCAACGAAACTATCTATTACAGTAGACGTTTTACTCAGTAACACGATTCACGTTTCACGAATCACGAACGAGCGATCAGTAACAAAACGTTTATTCGGCTATTTTCGCGACGCATCGGCGACGGCTTCGGATGTTGAAGTAGAATCACATGAGTAAAGAAACTGACTCTTTACGCTGTGGTAGAAGTACCACCGGTCGTCGAAAGTCGAGTGAGCACGTGTGCTTTTGCATTTGACCTATGACTATTCCCTTCGTATAGATGCGATATTAGCAATGAGAAAGTAAGTGTACGTGTTTTTAACAAAAGATAGTTCAAATACCATAATTTAAGTGGCCTTGGCCCGGTTTAAATTAGTCTTGTGTTTAAGTGTAATGACACGGTTTGTTTTCACTTTTTAGGCGCGTTTGTTTCCTTTTTGTGCAACAATAATAATATTTTTAGTAAAATAAGAACTAAATACAATTGTATATATTAGTGTTGATAATAATAATTGTACAGTAATTAGTGTAAGTAACTAAGAGTAAAAATAATACTAAAACTTTATGTGATAGTTATCAAAAATGTCTCGAAGTAATGCCAGTGTACTTTGAAGTGATATTTTTATCAAAACGTGCGAACTGATTTAACAAATAAATAAATTTAACCATTAACACCATGTCTAATTCTATACGAAACGGTAACAACGGTCGCAACGTTTTGCAATTGAACACGTCGTGAAACACTCTATTGAAGCCGCTATTAAAATAGAGTGTTTCAAAACACTCTATTAAAATAGAGTGTTTCAAAAGCCGCTATTGATATTCGATAGATAGTTTCGTTTCGTTACTCAAAGAAGCCGCTACTACCCACCGCTATACTGTGTGGTGGCGTAAAGAATGCATAGATACGCGATAGCAGCAATCGCGGTTGATTTGCTGTCATTTATTGAAGAATTCCCCCGATTTCTCCAAGATCCCATCGTCATATCTTGATCTGACCATCATCGATTACCATGGGATCATTTAGAAAGTATATTCTTTCAAACCAAAAAATAATTTTCCAAATCGGTTCAGGCATCTTCGAGAAATCGGAGAACAGAACATACATAACCAAAAAAACAACGATTTGAGAACCGCCTCTTTTTTTCGAAGTCGGTTAAAAAGTAGGTAAAAACAAATCAATGAAATTATTATATAATAACAACATCTACTTAAATTCACATAAGAACTTTCATAATAACAACTAAATTGGGTTCATAATAATAACACCAATTTATTTCCTCTCTCTTTTCTCTTTTTAAAATAAATACGTTACCCCCACAGTATGATTTTCTCCTGTATCGTGGAGGCAGTTTACAAACATAAATTGCACAAGGACAAACATCCAGACCCGGAACAACTATTTGTAGACCATACAAATATTTGTTCCGTGCGGGATTCGAACCCGCGGCCCCCAGCGCAGCTACTCATTGCTAAGTCACTGCGCCAAGAAGCTCACAATTGCCGTTTGAGTTTATCTTATTATTCAAAAATGAATCGCATAGGTAGGTACGCGATGACGCCGTCGCGCATTGCGTCACTCGAGTGCGTATGTGTGTGCGCACTAGCTTCTTACTGCTCATCACAGCGTCTATCCCTTTCGCACGTGAAGTCGGCTGAGACAGCATGCATTTTAACCCTGCCCACCATTTAGTTCGAGCTATCGACTAGGGCCACCTTAAGGCAAGATGGTGAATAATATTTCTTTTTGCTTATTAGTAACATCTTAAATGTTTCATGTTTGTTGTTTACAGAAAAGACTCAAAAAACACAATGAATGACAAATTAGGTGATCTTATAATGCAACGCGATCGGCTTATACAACAAGAGAATCCTGATGAGGCTACGCTCAAGCAACTCAACAATGAAATAAGAAGTATTTTGATGAACTGTGGTACTTAATATTTACGAAAAATGTCGCCTGATCTAAATTATTATATTAATATTAAAGTACTTTTTTTAATATGACTTGTTTTATTTTCCTAAATATGAATGAATGAATGAATATACTTGTACACCACAAACAAATATACAGATAACAAAACAAAAGCAGATTATAATATGTAAGTATAATTTGGCGGCCTTATACTACTTAGCGATCTCTTCCAGGCAACCAAAGGTGTAAAGGATTAGAACAATGAAAACTAGGTAGGTGGTGCAATATAAATATACAAAATGTAATATCAATACATGCGATTTATAGACGATACATGCAATAAAATAACTAATACATGAAATTATGTAAATTGCTAAAATATAATAAAAAAAATAAAGTAAAACGTATAATATACACATACACATACATATATATAAATATATAAACACTTACACATTTACGCAAATATGTATAACAAAATTCCTCAAACAATAATATAAAGTAGATAAATACAATAGATACATAATCACGTAATTTATTCTAACGGTGTTCGAACTACTGAGACAAGTAATGCTCTTTAAGCAGTCGCTTAAACATAACAATAGTTTGTGCTTCACGTATACGCAACGGTAGGGCATTCCAGAGCTTGATAGACTGGACAGTAAAAGATTTATTAAAAAAAGGAAATATTGTGAGTTGGTACCCTTAAAATGAATTTTCTTGTAGAGCGTAGAGGTTCTCCTGGAAGCCCTACAAAATTAAACTTCTCCTTTAGATAAGAAGGTGTAGAAGGGTGAAATAATACACAGTACAGAATGGAAAGAATATGCATATTCCGGCGAAGTCGGATAGGTAACCATTTGAGACGTGAGCGAAATTGCGAAATATGGTCATATTTGCGCAATCCAAATATGAAACGAATACTAGTGTTTTGAAGTCTCTCGAGCTTATTTAGCTGGTCCTCAGTTATGTCTACATAGCTTGCGTCAGCATAGTCGAGAATCGGAAGGAGAAGAGACTGTGCGAGCATAATTTTTGTAGGAATGGGAAGAAATGATCAAAGGCGACGCAGAGAACAAAGAGCGACAAACGTTTTCTTACTTACCTCATTCAGTTGGCGTGTCCAATTTAAGGAATTATCGAGATAAATACCAAGATTTTTGACATTGTCAAAGTAAGGGATTACAACTCCATCGAATTCGATAGGTGGTACGGAGAACCAGTCAATTCTTGAGATAAAGCTCCGGCTACCAATAATGATGGCCTGTGATTTTTTGGGATTGACATTTAGACCATATGACTTACTCCACTCATGAATAATATTTAAATCGTTATTTAATGTAGCAATTTCATTCGACAAATTCTCAAGAGTTGACTGGGTATAAATCTGAACATCATCCGCATACATGTGGTAGAGAGAAGATATTTTATGAGCGATTGAATTAATGAAAATGGAAAAGAGTAAAGGTGACAACACGCCACCCTGCGGCACGCCTGCAGTGATATCACACCAAGATGAGTGAGTTTCATCGACACGAATACACTGCCGACGGCCACAGAGATAACTTTTAAACCAGTTAAGTACTGATGGAGATATGTTAAGGGAATACAATAGACTCAACAGTATATCGAAATCAACAGTATTGAACGCATTACTGAAATCCAGTAAGGTCATGACTGTGAGTTGTTTATTATCCATACCCCACCGTATGTCATCAGTAACTTTAAGGCAGTAGCCGTACCATGACCAGGACGGAAACCGGATTGTAAAGGATTCAACAAATTGTGCTTATTAAGGAAAAGTGTCAGCTGTTGGCAAATAAGTTTTTCAAGGACTTTAGAAAGGAAAGGTAAAATCGAGATGGGACGGAAATCAGAAAGGTTGACTGGATTGGATCTCTTCGGAAGGGGTATAACATGTGCATTCTTCAATAAACTGACTAAAAACGAACGGAGGATAATTAGGAGTCGGAGTTACAGAAAGAGAAAGAAGTGTTTGCAGTTTATGTTGACTAACAAAAGAGTTAGAAGGATTAGAAAAATTTAATAGTTCGACATCAACACTAGGAGACGAAGCATTTAGGGATGTTCTTCCAACTCCAACTGTTTTAAGAAACTTCCACACCCTAGATGAGTCGCCGTTCTCGACTGATGTATGAATATGGCGTCGTTGTGCATCTCTACATAATGTATTGCAGCGATTCCTGATTTTGGCGTATTTCCTTTGGTTTTCCTCGGTTTTATTCCTCTTAAGCTTTGATAATACCATATTTTTCTTCAAGATAAGCCTTTTCAGATCATCAGAGAGCCATGGAGCAGGTAAATGTTTGAGTTTCACCTAATGCATTGGCGCGTGAATGTCATAAAGCTGAGTAAGTAGGGAACAGAAAAGTTCAACTTTATCATCAATGCAAGATAGTCTCTCAATCACTGACCAGTCAATATTATGCGCATCTTCACAAAGTTGGTCAATATCCAATAATATATTTATGTTATAGTAAAATTATTTTGTCCGTGCAGTTGGGGTCATAAATCATAGCTCGGCATCAGCCCGGCTAGGGCGGTAAATATGTTGTGCGGGCACAAAGCCATTATCGGTAACAACAAATGAGTCATTGAAGGCAGGTACACGGCGGCGGTGCGGAATACAAAGTATGGTGCGACATTGTTATGTTATTAGTCATTGGTAGTAGAGTTATTCTTTTTATAGAATACTATAATACATACATAATAGAGTGGGCGGAGCCCGTGTAGTCACTAACATGTCAATTCACACGTATAAATGTCAGCACAATCGTTTCCAATTTTCGTGCCAAGCGTCACTGCAAGCAAATTATTTAAAAAATGGCAAATTGTATAACAATTACGTGTCGAAAGAACAGCGGAAAATGGAATTTAAATAAAGGAGACGAATTCTACAACCAGTAAGTCGAAACTATTTATATTTTGTGAATATTAGAAACAAAAATTAAGAAATATTTATGTGTTGAAAATATTAATCAAAAGTCTAAAATGTGTTTGTAGTAGTCATAACTGATAATACGACGTAATTGCTTGTATGTGTACTCCCGGCGACACCAATCCTCCTACAAAATAAAGTTGACAGCCATTCTATTGTGTATTATAGTATTCTACGTTTATTTTCCATTATTACCCCCGCCTCATACCTGCGAATTAGTGCAATGATAATTTAGTACATATATCGAAAATAATTTTTTTTACGCATTTGCTCTCTGAATTTCTTTAGTGACACAGTGGCTACTCCTTTGTTTAGTACCAAAACGGCAGAATTTATTCAAAATAATATTTTGCCTGTTGGCACCAGTATACCAGCACAAGCACGTGTTGTTATCAGTGGCGTAGCGTGTCTTAGAGGGGCCCTGTATCAAAATTTGTTGGGGGGCCCAACGAAAGGTCCGAAACCGCTCGCATTGAATTGAAAAACTTATATACTGACGATTTCTTATATTTACGCGAACACTATACATTGATTAAAACTACTTTTACGGATTTTATCGCGTTTTATTTATATTAATTTTAATACCCGACGTTTCGGGTGCTTTCCAGCACCCATGGCCACGGGGGACTGAGGTGACTGACGTCCCGATGTCACAGTTAACCCGGAGTGGGTTAACTGTCACATCGGGTATTAGAATTAATATAAATAAAACGCGATAAAATCCGTAGAAGTAGTTTTAATTAATTAAATTATATACTGATTATAGTTTACTAATAACTAGTAACACTACTAGGAACTAAGCTAGCCAAACAATTCAAATGTAACATAAGCTTTTCTTGTCTAGTTCGGCGATTTTAATAGGTCACGGAAAAAGTTTCTTCGGATTTCATATACACAATTTTTTTTCTAAGTTCCATTACATTGAAATATAACAAATATACGAGTATGTGCCATTTTGTTCGATAAATTGTTGCCATCTTGTAGGTAGATGACATAATCCCGTTGGTGTAGAAATTTTGGGATTTTGATCAAAAAATGCAACAAGTAGTTTTGACAGTCCTCTCTTGATGTTAACCTAGCACTACCCAAAGAATTCTGAAGTGACCGAAACAGGTGAAAATCTGAAGGTGCAAGGTCAAGACTTCAATGCCTCGGCTATGTTGTAGAGCTACTTCCTCCACTTTTTCAAAAAAGGCATTAACTTTATTCGTATGAAGGTGACCAGAGCGAGATGCATCGTTTTTTTGTAATAAAACTTCAGAATGTGTCGAATTCCTTCGTTGGATTCACTAATTATTGCAGACAGAAAAACAATTGAAAAATGGCGGCAGTGTTTTTACTCTTTCCTTCTCTTTTTCTTAATGTCCTATATATATTGATATTAAAACCAGCCAGATACAAATAGTATAAACAAAGAGATTTTCTTCAATTTTATACAAACAAAATACGAAGAAACTTTTTACCCGACCCATTATAATGGCGAACGTCTCGTCATCGGTCATAACTGCCTGCCTGTCCAGATAGATAATAGTGTCAAGTTCGACAGCCTTTCCTGTCCCATGGAGGTACTTAGTTAATTTTTATCAGTCTTATTTCAAAAAACTTCTTTCAGTTGTCAGCTGAGTTTCTCTTGTTGTAATACTTCGAACATTTCGTTTGAAAAAGATAAGAGTTTCTCCGGGTGTGATACTTCGAATACATTACCTAGGTCTCAGAGACTCTAGAGCTGTTTAGTTTGAGACATTAATATATCTGAACAGCAATAGTACATATTGACTTTGAAGTATGATTCCGGGTATGAAATTCTCTCACCTTCTGATATTCTTCATATTAAGAAAAATGCTTCTTTATCTTCTTCCTTTTATTTTTGGAAGCAGTTTTTACACCCCACTCTTTTGCTTATCCCTGGACTCGCTCAGAAAACTTGATTTCTTATTTAGCTCAGTCTATTCAAATATTACCCTTAGTAAAATGTGAGCTTTTTATTATTTCGTGCTGTAGAGCTTTAGAAACAGGATTGATGATTTCAAATAGTGAAGAAAAAAGGTTTGTCTTTTCAGTGGAAAT